TGCATGTATGTTTTTATAAATACTTACTATATACACATAACAATAGTATACATGTTATGCTACTTACGTTGCCACCTTTAGATATACAGGGTGTTTTCAATAACTTTTTAAATTCTTCAATTAGTTGCATTACTTAAAACTTGTTTCTAAGGGAGTTGCAAATTTTTTAAGAAACTAAATTTATTTAAAATAAATTACATAATGTCTTGATCTGAATTAGAGATTTTCTCTTGAAACAAATCAAATTTTTATATTATTATAAGCTTAATTAATTTTTTAAATATTGAGAAATTATTGAACTGTCACAGAAAACACAAAAATTCCTTATTGTTGCTAAACCGTTATTTAAAATATAATTAATCAATATTTATATTTGAAATATTTCCGGATTTAAATTAAGTAAACTAAATAGTGCTGAATGCAGTCTAATTGTATTTGATTAGGCTTTTAATTAAATATAACAAATGCCTTTTGAGAACTCTTAAGACACACTGTGTAAATTTTTCATTGTTTTATTTAAAAAACTTGTGTTGAGTATCAAATATTAATAACACCAATTTAAATTCAAATTAATAATTTATATTCTTCATAATACTTTATGTTAAGTTCAGCATAAAACAAAAATATGGATTTGAAGTTGAATGAAATGTATCGCATTATACCACACCGTCTGAACCACATTAAATCAATTAAACCGCATCTTATTAATTACGAAATTTAAATATAAAAGTTTTCAAAAATTTATAGTATGAATTTCATGTTCTGAAAATAAACTATTTCAACTGTATATTGTTCACAGTAATTATTGACAATTAATATTTACTGTAATGTTTATTTTTACAACACAACTATTATTATTTTAAATTGAAAAAGTGTGAGAAAAGTCTTTTGAAAACAAAAATAAGAAAACACAATAATGTGCATGCTTTCCATAAGTTCATCTAATTTTAATGTCTGCACTCTTACATATAAATAATTGTGTGCATAATTAAATATGTGCGGATGTATGTATATTAGGTATGTATGATTAAATATAAATTTTCTTGTTACAGTACCTGCCAATTCGTTTCAATACATAAGTAAGCAGCATGATGTATTATAAATAATAGAAAAATTGAATAAAGTAAGAAGAAAAAGAACAATAAAAAAAAAGCTTTTAAGGCAAATAACCTTTCAATTACACAAACAATGGCGTTTTTCCTTGACGATTTTCGTTTTTTCTTATACTTGTTTTTTTTGCTCTTCTATCATAAAAAGTTTATTACAACTACAGTAATTATAGTGAGAAAAACCAAAATGCAACAAATAGCCATCATTATGTTTTTTTTTATTTACATTGTCAGCTATTTTTAAATAAAATTAAAAATTCTTTTAAACAATAAAATTTTTGTTTTCTTGGTATTTTCCTAAATAGTCCAAATTCTGATCCATTGTTATCTTTCTTACCCATTAACACTACGTACTTAAGTATAATAATTTCAAAATCAGACAATAAAAATAAATAAAAAACTTGAAAACAATTGCTAGTGCAGCTTGACTGTATGGAATTTTTTTTTTCAAGTACAATTTTCATTTAACACTCTTGCAATTAAATAGATCTCAGCTCACAAACTTTTTAAATTTGCAAATAAGTAGTCGATATCTATAACTAAGAAGTTTTCAGGTATATTAAATTTAATACGGGGTTTGAAACCACTTGGAGTCACCTGCGGTATGGACATGTATAACCACGCTCAACATAAAATTCTGCGTTGATTTAGACATGTTCGTCCGTTCGTCCGTTCGTCCATCCAATAGCACTATAACTCAAAAGCGAATAAATTTTACGAAACTTACACAAATTATTTCTTTTGCCCAATGGACGGACCCTATTGTAATTTGACTAATTCGGACAACGGGTTTGGGTTGCTGTCATACAACTCAAAGTGATTATTTTAAATATTTCAAAAACTTAATAGAGGTATTTAAATATAAAACTTTGTATACGTGTGTCCTATTACATTCTACATATGCTCTAAAAATTTCAATGCTTCAGGTAACTACCGTACAACTCCAAAACCAAATTTTATATATCTGTGGGGAAAAAATAAAGCTGAGTTCAAGAAACTAGGCAATTATGTGCCCATTATAGGTCATAGATATCCTCGAAGATTTTATGGAACGGCTTGACATGTTCGGCTAACTACCATATAACATTATAAAAGCTAATATTATATATAGGAAAAAATGATTAAATGAATTACAGCCTAGATATATCCGCGATGTTTTTGTGAAGTTCTTATACTTAGATTGTCAAGGCGTATAATTCAGTCGATTTAAACCGAGTGAAACTCCTTTACTTGCTAGCAATCAATATTTCCTTCAAATAATTTTTGTTTTGTTTTATAAAAATAATTTAGCTCTCTAAAACTATAGTTTTATTACGAGACAATAATTTTTCATAATAACTTTTTCATGAAAATTCTTTAATTTTTTAATTTTAGTTAATTTTTTATTTATGGAAATTTTATTTTAGTTTGCAGAATGCGAAAGAATAAAAGACTAATAAAAATTTATTAAACATTGCTTTTTAGCATATTATATTTGGAAAAAGAATTTCAAATAGAAATAGTTGATATTTTCACTCTTTATTCGATAAGATTTTAAAAATATTGATTAAATTTACAATTCTGCTTTCAAAAATTAAACAAGAAGAAATTTTATCTTAAGTTAAAATAGCAAAAGAGTTTTTGTTCAATAATAATAATGGCAAATACGAGTATAGATGTATAGAGAAAAAAATTTCTAAATTTAAGTATTTAAGAGAATGCAAAAATACAGGAAATTATTTAGCTAAATATTTTGAAAATCAAATACAGAAATTTTTTCAGTATTGAAGCAAGTGACATATGGGTGAATATTTAAAAACACAAAATATAATTAAATAATAAGTTGAATAATATTTAAGTCGAATTAAAATCCCCACTGAGTACCTATCCATTGCTGAACAAAAGCAAAGTAAAACTTTAATCTTACTACTTATTGTAATTCTTTTATAACTTTGTGAACGAAACAAAATTCACCTAGTTGATTAGCTTTCAATCACACCGTGTTTGTTAAAAATTTGTGTGAAAAACTTTCTACTAAGTCTATACTTGATATTTTTCAATCAAGCAAGCCCTAATGTTATATATATTTATATACTCATAAATTAAAGTGTAAAATACTTTAGAACTGCGAATGGATTTTTAAGCATTTAAAGAATTTCATACTAAAATTGAATTATATAAAATATTTTGTTTACTCAACGATTACTTACAGCTTTCATGCTAGCTTTATCAGATACATAATATGCACACATGTTTTCATTAAGTTAAATTCAGTCAATAAATTTCACTGAATTTTGTATGTGTAAGTACTTTCACAATTTCATCATAGTGTTTTACAGAAGTATGTACGTGTACTTATATAGTTATAGTTATGCACTTATTTTATATTAAAATAAGTTAAAATTTTCGTTTAAATTTATATTAAATAAAATATTATAAAAAGCAAATTGTGTTGTCATTAATAAATAAAATATATTGGGCTTCTATTTAAAATAAGTGATTCATTACTTTCTTTGAATTATTTTCAATAGTTTCATGTAAGTTATTTAACTTTGAAATTTTAGTGAAATTTACAAAATGAATATTGTTAAATATAATTAAATACTAAGTTATTATATAAAAAATAATAATTATAATTAAATAATATTATAGTATTTAATTATAATTAAATACTATAGTTAAGTTATTTTTGAATAGAATTCATCAACATTTATTACTTTGAATTCTTTATAAGTTTGAAAAAAAAAAAAAACGATTTATTTACTGCGGAATTCGGAAACATGCCAATTAATTAGAAAAAGAGAAAGAAAGAAATTAAGAATTCTTTAAAAATTCTTCAAAAAATTTTTCTATTCTAGTTTTTCATTTTTAACGATTCAATTTCATTTTCTCAATATTAAGTATTGAGAAAATACTATTTATTCAGCTTTTATGACAATAAAATTATGAAATTATTGAACTGTTGTGCTGTTATATGAAACGAAACTAATTTACGTTGCTGCAAGTTATTCCTACTTTTTACTAACATAAGTGTTAAGCTATAAGTATAAGTACATGTAGTGTGTTCTAGTATTATTTAATTACATTTAATTGAAGAAACAATAATAAAATGTTATGCAAATACATGCCATTTAAAACAAATCGAATTTTAAACGTTCATAAAATAGTACAAATTGTACCATAAATGATTAAATAATACGTTTAAAATTAGAAGTCATAGCAATAATTACTTATTTAATATTGTTTGTTTTGAAAAACAACTGTTTATAAATAATTGTAACGCACTTATTTAAGCATGTATTTTGTACTTGCTAAGAGTTTATTTTTGTTTATAAATTTTCTATTTCAAATATTTTTATTTTACTTTTGTAAATAAAAGAATTAAAAAAATTTAATAGAAAGCAAAATAACAACGCATATTATTGGAAGATTATTTCTTAAACCATAAATAGTTATTATTTAATAGCTAGAGAAATTGAAATAGAATTTCTTTTAATAAGTTGTTTAGTTCCATTACGTTAGTTTAAGCATTACAACATCACATTACATATATATGTATATATATGGCCTTGAACCTTATTGAGTACAATAATATAGAATTATTAATGTCTAATCAATAGTTAAATCTACAATAAAAGAAATTAAATAATATTTTATTTGAATAATAAACAATAAGTATTGAATTCTCTAATATATTATTAAAACAAAAAGGTCATTTGATTGTAAATAGAGTCATTTTGATGAAACTAATAGCTTCAAGTGATTGTTGTTTTAAGTATCATTATTTTAACGAGTGTGATTAGTTATTTGATTTAACAATGTTTACCTAACCGATTTTTATAGTTATTTAATAATATAATAATATTTATTATAAAATTTATAATAAGAGATAAAAAGAATAGACCCACTCACCTATCTTCCATTTTAGCTCGTCGTCCCAGTAATGCAAATGCTGCACTCTGTTTTTTAGTATCTTCCCAACATTGATGATCACCACCACCACAATCTAATAATTTTAATTTATTAGCGCGACTTTTTGAATAACCAAAACTTGCTGATAATCTTGCTAATATTCCACGGCTCCATGTATCAACTGCTTGTAAATAAATTAATAATATAAAAATTACAATGCCACAGAATATAACTTCTGGCCGTAATACATAAAGTCGACATAATTTCCATGTATATGCTAAAGGTGAATTTATTGATGAAACACCAACAGCAAATTTTGATAATAATTTCATTTGTGAAACAAAGGTTTGATATAAAACTTTATCTTCAAGCTCGTCTTCCATTTCCATTAAACCCGAATAATGGATTTAAGGATTTTTATTTCAAATATAATTTAAGTAGGTGTATTTTTTTTATTTTAATAATGTAGCTACAATACTTTTCTTTTTCTTTCACTTCTTGTGTTCAATATTTTTCTATAATATAAGTACATATACGTATAAATATTTTGTAAATTTTTAATTTAGATGAATTTGCCAACAATATTATAGTGAAATATCATTTGAAATATATACGTAAACAACAAGAGGTATGTCTATGATTCTAACAACTTTAATAGAAACTGTAAATTGGAATTATTCAAAAGTAAGGAACAGAAAAATAAATTCATTAAAATCCCAATAGTTCATTCTGGAATCTTCAGACATTTTCCTAGACATAAATCACGTGATGTAATTGTATGATTCTCGAAATTTGCTGTTGTTTTTAAAATTTTAACAATAACATTTCAAATGGCGCATCTTAAAAATAAGGAAAATTGAAATTTGGAAATTGAAACTTAAAGTCGTTTTTTTTAAATTTATACTTGTGCCTAAACGACACAACTGCATATTGATTGTTTGTGACTGCACAAAGAACGCATATTCCTATACCAGCTTTTGTTTTGCTCAAAATTGGGGTAGATGTAATAAAAGCATCTATAGGTATGAAAAATTTCAACCAATTTAAAAGTGGTTACATATATACAACGCTCTTTTCTTATTGAAAATTAATAATTTATATAGTATTAATTATTTATTTATGTGTAGGTACTTTGGTACCTAAGTATGTAAGTATGTAGATAGTAGTTTCGAGACACATATTAGCTGGGTTAAGTATGCATAATAGCTTCTGGATTATACAATGTATTTGGAATCACGTTTTGCTTAATCTCCATTTGCCATAATGAGTTTAATAATTACCTTTGAATATTAATTTTAAAATTGTATTTTAATAAACAATTAATCAGATTTTCAATTTTTTTAAAATTTTAGCGCAATCCACCATCAAATAACGTTGTTCTAATTAGAAAACAATTAAATTGATCTAAGGAAAACAAAATAAATTTCTACTATGTATGTGCGTCTGGCAAATTCAACTAAGAACAAATTTGTTTTTTTTTTTGTCTTCGTTGCTGCCTATATCTTTATTTAGTTTTAATAAAATTTAAAAATAAATTAAGTTGTATTTTTAAATCTTAGAAAAACAAAAAAAAATCAAATTTTCTTAAAATAAAAATTTTCATTATTTATTTGGTAGACGTCACACATATTATTTTTTATGTATAATTTAAATCCGGCTAATTTCCATTAATCTTAATAATTTCTTATATAAATTTGTAATTTATTTTCACTAATACAATATAATTATTCGATTTTTCTATGTTAAGTTTAAAACTTCATTTAATTAATTTTAATTCTATATATTTCCTAATTCCTTAAAATAAAAATCTAAATATAAATTTTTTTATTACATCTAAATAAAATTTTCCTTTCCTTCTTAACACAACAAAACCTCGACGAAGACTGTCTGTCATGTCATTTTCATATATTTTATTTTGTTGTTTTTGAAAATGTCTAAGTCAAATAAAAAGTCATATTAAACAAGTACTGCCATTTTCGCATTCGTTTTTATATGACATGACACATAGTTGCCATAAGAAATAAATTATTTTTCATATAATTTTAGTTGTGTATGGAAATAAAATATTTCTAGCATTATAATTATATACAATACCATACGTGAATATATGTAATGTCATTTGCAGAACGTATGCAGAAAACGTTTTAATTATTTTTATCGACGTGTATCGGAAGTAGAAACAATCTATTTTTTTTTATATTTACCAATTCGTCAATTTATTCGAAGTTCTTGGTGATCAAACAAAATGTACGCGGCATATGCATAGATTTCTATATGCATATTTAAATTGTGCGATATCGAATTTCAGATTAGTGTACGAATAGTATGTTTATATTTGTATATTTCATTGTTATAATATTTGGAAGTAAAAAAATCATTTTCATCGTTTTTGTGATTTTGAAAACATACTTTTATAACAATAAATGCACGTATAACAACACGCGGTAAAATTTCTGTAAGCCTATTTAGGATAATTTGAATAAACATTTTTATTTAAACACGTCGCGAAATATTTTCTAAAAGATTTTTTTTTTAAATTTTAATAAAATTATATTGTTAAAAGTTATAATCTACGTAAAGACATAAAAAGTTTTCTATAACCTAAAACATTAAGGTCTAAGAATTTATTTTGCATATGAAAACAAAAAAAATATCAACTCCTATCAACTGCTTTTTTATATAGGCTACTACACAAATTTTGTTATTGCATCGTGGCATGTGACAAGCACTATTCCAAATAATTTTTTTTTTATACCGTCTATTTCACTAATAATTTGTAAAATGGCGAGCTGGTCACTGTGTATCAATAAACTCAAAAAATAGAAATCTTGCAAATGGAAATCTTCTCCGTGTGTGGTCAAGATTAAAATGAACAAAAATTGGCGAGTGATTCTAGAAATCAATTGTGTGTGTACTGAAAATATTAATTACTATAATTATAGTAAAGTAAACCGTCAACGTGATGCTACTGAATGAAATATTGAACAACGTAAAATGATCTACTTAAAAAATTCACTTATGGATATACCTTGAAGACAGTGAAAATAAGTCTAGTCACCTTTTCATTGAAATTCAAAGAGATTTGCTCTACATACTTTTAATCGATTTCTGCATCTCTTTACGTGACATCTTGTTAGAAATTTTTTTATAATTTTATTTCATAATTTCTTTTTCCACAATTATATCGATAAAATAAAATCGATTTTAAATTTTGTTGTTCGGAGCAATAACGATTACGTTATTAGGGATTTAAGTTCTGTTTATAATGAAAACTTTGTCTTTTTATAATATTTTATTTTTAGTAAGTAAATTTACTAAATCTCAAGTTAGAAATATAATTTGAAATAACTAAAGTGTTTCTGAAATTCAAATTGAAATATTTTGAATTATTTAATTTAAATGCATAACCCGTTTAAAAAATTGACTGTTGTTAAATTGATCTAAATCACATAAGTATGAATGTATGCGTTTAAATTTCGTTTAATTATGTTGCTTTTTCTTTAGTAATTGTACACGAACGTAAGTTTTAAAGTGCTGCCCCAAGTGCCAATGATTTTCTTGTTTGCTTTTCTTTAAAGAATTTTTTAAGAATATATTTATTTTTTATTATTATACTCTAATCCTTCCGCTATTTTTTTTGATATGGTTATGAGATTCAAAATATTACATTTCTTTTAATATTTTTAGTGAGATTTAAAAGTTCTAAATCGATTGTCAATACCGCTTTAAATTTTCGTTTTTGATAATATAACATAAAAAGAAAATATTTTCTGCTGTTACTGCAAAAATATTTCAAAAGCAACATTTTTCGTTTTAATTCATTTATTTTCATTTTCTTTATTCCAAAAAGTGGGTCAAAATTAAAAACAAAAATAAAATCAAAAAAACTGTACTAGTGCTAAAATTAAAAAAATTGAGTCAGGACAACAAAATATTAAGATAACAAAAATTTTTCAGTTTATTAATCATTAAATATTTTAAATTTATAAATCATTTATTAATTTCATTAATATTAATCAGATATACAGTATATTTTATAGCCTCATGTTGTACGAAAATTTTGTTTATGTTAGACTGCAAGAAGTACATATCTACGTACTGCAATATACAATAAATTTTTTTATTTTAGAATATTTCTTTGAATTTGTACGAAAAAGAAAAATGAGGCGAGAAAACTTATAAGTATTCAAAAGTAAGTATGTCACAATATCGCAAATTTTCTTTTCAAAATTTATCTGGGTAGAAAACCTACACTTTGAGAATAATTTTTAAGAATACCTATTTTAAATTTCCACGGGTAATAAAAAAAAAGTAATTTCGAAAAAATTGTAATGTCTGTATTAAATATGTACCAACCAAGATACATAATTATACATAGATCTTTGGCATATTGAAATTGGCAAAATTATATAAACCTTATATAACGAAATCGTTTTTGATAATATTATATGTAAACATTCACATACATTATGTATTATTGTTTTCATATTGTAATTTCGTGTAATATATTGCAAATTTAATTTATAGTAATAAGAACATTTTGTTTAAAGAATTTAAAAAATTCTAATATAAAACTAAATGAAATTACGATTAACGTTGAACCATTTATTTGTCTCTATAATAATAATAAAAAGGACCATTTCAGTAAAAAATAGAAATATATTGCAATTTTTTGAATTAGCACAAGGGTTAATCGATCAAACAGCATTGAGAAAGCATACCAGCTTATTATAAATCTAAGAACAAAAATATTGAATAATATTTATTCAAAAAATACATACAAATATGCATTAAAACTTAAAAGGAAAAAAATCAAGCAGGACGATGCTTGTTTATAAAAGTTAATTCCAATTGATTTTTAAAATAAAAACAAATTTAAGGAACAAAAGCGCCCTCGAAAAAAAGAAAGGTAGAAAATGCCTTTTAGAGAAATGAAAAGTGGAAATTGTGAACTGTTCAATATTTAACAAGTAGAAATTATTTTTACAACACCACTAAACAGATTACATAATATAATTCCAAACATCATTAATTTTAAAAATTTATACAAAATATTAAGTAAATGTATAATAAACATTGTATAAGCGATTTTAAGTACATAGAGAAAATGCAATTTGGTACAAAATTTAAAAGAAATATGGAATGCGTATCGGAATAGAAGTCATTTTCGCACGAAATGCTACAGAAAAAGAAAAAAAAATCAGAAAATCTTCTGCCAACGTATTAATAATTCAATTTACCCTCAAATGCTTTACTTAAACTTGCATTAGTATTTAATTTGATAACAAATTTGTTAAATGCATATAAAATAATCATTTAAAAAAATACTTTTCTATATATTAATCAACTTCTGTACATAAATGCGTGCATTGAATAATATAGGGTGGTCCAGAAATTAATTATCTGTAACAGCTTTTAAGTTTTTAAAGCTAGAACAATATATTGTTCGCAAGTTTTCTCAGCTAAAAAACCTGTATAAAGGTAATTTCAATGTTTGACAAAGTGGTGATCGTCATGACATGAAGATTTAATATGACCAAGTTGTACAAGATTATGTAGCGAATGAAGTAAATAATCATGGTAATTAAGGCTTTTTGGAAAAATTTTCAGTTTTTGTAACAACAAAAAAGTTACTAACAGCATACTTATTGCTCTTCCTTTGACATCTTTAAAGTTAGTATGAGAAATTTTCAGACATAATTTGTTCAATCTATCATTTTATATGTTAAAGAAAATTAACTCTTCAAAGCACTACTCTTATACTACGAATTTGCCATTCTCACCGCGCGAACTATCAAAAAGAACTTAAAAGAATCACACTAAAAAGCCTTAACGCCAGTTCCGAACCACCCTTTATATAAAAAACAAAAAAGTACAAATACATTCATTCTTGGGTACATATAATATACACTTTATACGTATTAATGTATGTACATATGTATGTTATGTACGAAATTATTTTCCATTAGTTATTCTAAACAAATTTCCATAAATATTTGCTTAAAATTAAAGATTCCAAATGAAAATGGCTTCTAATGTTTTATATTTAAATATTTACGGAAATCTCATTCTAAAAATCAAAAAAGAAAAAACTACTTTAGAAATAACATTAAGAGTACAATATTGAAAATGTTTAATAATTTTGTTGAATTCAAATATTGAAATCATGTAAAATCTTATTTATACTTCTTTAATTTTTATTTATAATTTCATGCAAATGCTCAAGTCGGCTTATAACCATGTTGAGCTTTTTATTTCTATCATAATTCTATATTGTAAATGCGATATGAAAATGAAAATGCATTTAAATTTAAAGAAATAAATAAATAATGTTATTTAGGTAAACTTATTACGTTTTCAAAGAAGAACATTATAAAAAATGAAAACAAATAATCAAAAAAAAATTACTAAAAAAAGATTGCAAATATTCTTTAATTAAAAATATGAATAATTAATAATAGCAGGCTAAATTTAATAAATATTGTATGGATAAACTAATGTATTAATGTTTACTCAACCATTTCAAAGATCGATGAGCTAATATTATCTTATACATACTATGTAAAGAAATCTAAGCTAATGAAAATCATTTCTTTTCTTAAAGTTTTATAAAGAAAGATTTGAATATAAAAAAAATTATTTCTGAAAATTATGAACAAAAAAATGTTTTTTGAATAAAAATACATATGCATGTACATATAATATATATCTTTTATTTTTAATTTACATCAATTCAAAATAAATAATTCATTTTCTTTTTATCTTTTTTTATATATCTATGTATTGAATATGAATTTCTTATTAAACTTTTAACATATTATATTATTGTAAATAAATTAATCAATTAGATTATATTTTGCAAATAAATAATTAAGAGAACAATTCACTTGTTTCAAAAAATTAGTTATATTTCAACTGTGCGTTGTAAAATCAATTTCTATTCAAAGAAGAAAAGAAAATGTCATATGCTGAATAAATACGAAGTTATATTAATGAAATTAATTTAAATATATAATTAACTTTCTTTATTAGTAACAACTGACTATATATATTTGCAAGTAAACTAAACTATAGCTCAATTGAAAAGCACTTTAATTGACAAATTAAAAATGAACAAAAAAAATGTATGTATATATTTAACATTTCAATAAGATAACTTGATTGTATTTCTTTCAACTGCAACTTTCTGTGTGCTTAATCATATTAGATTGATAATTTGACTATAATACTTAATATATGTATGTGCACGTCTAATATTTCTACAATTTTTTTTAATTAAAATAATAACAAAAAAGCTTTTTTGTTGTTTTTCTTTCTTTTTTTTTTGTATTTAGTATTTTAGTAATAACATTATAAGATAAATCTTTTTAATTACATTTTTATTATTTTTTGGCATTAGAACCTATTGGTGACGGGTTCCTTTGGGGCGTAGACGGCCTGCTGGAGTTAATGCCGCTATATAAATATTTTGCTTTTTTCTCGGATGGTTTTAATATTTGGAAAGAACACATTAATGTCTCATCCACGCTCATCATACCGCCAGCATTATCGAATTCGCCACAATAATTTGGTGCGGAGAATAATGTTACTAATTGACGTTTAGCAAAAAATTCATAACCATCTTCAACAACTTGATGTGCTCTGCATATCAAATCTAAGTCATGTCGGTTTAAAAATTTTGATACAACATCAGATCCAAATGTAAAGCTTACACCACGATCGTTATCACCCCAACCTTGAATATCTTTATCGGGATCACTCCATAATAAATCACACAATAAACCTGTATCTGGAACATCTGTTGGTCTCATTAAACGACGAATTTGTTCCATACCTTGTAAGTCAGGTGAGAGCCCACCATGACAACAAAATATTTTTTCATCAATTATAGCAGCTATTGGCAAGCAGTTAAAACAATCTGTAAAAGTTTTCCATAATTTTACATTGTATCTCCGTTTACATTCGTCATAAAATCCGTAAATTCTATTAATACTAGCACATTCATGATTACCACGTAATAAAAAGAAATTTTCTGGATATTTTATTTTATATGCCAGCAATAAACATATTGTTTCTAATGATTGCTTTCCTCTATCAACATAATCTCCAAGAAATAAGTAATTGGCTGCTGGTGGAAACCCTCCATATTCAAATAATCTTAATAAATCTGTATATTGGCCGTGTATATCGCCACATATGATTAGTGGAGCTTCCAATTCTAATAAAATTGGCTGTTGCAAAAATATTTCTCTTGATTTTAGACATAGTCCACGTACTTCTGCTTCACTCATTTGTACTGGTTTTCCTTGACGGCATCCTCGCACTTCCAGAAGCCTATTAATTAAACTATCTACGTTCAGATCAAAGTCAGCCATATTGTCTTTATTGTATAAATGCTCTTAAATTTTGCATGAACTGCCCATAAATTTCCTTAATTTAAAAATAAACTGCAAATTGCAAAATTTAATCACAGTCTATTAAAAATTATTTTTTTAACTTTGATTTTTTTTTGTTTCACGTAAATTTACGTCAAATAATATTCTTTATAAATGCAGTCAAATACTTTTTTCTTTTTCTTAAATGGATTTTCTTCAGAAAAATTAAATATAGATCTTAAAAACATAAAAAGCTTTAATAATTTCGCATGTTCGTGTATATCCTAAATATATATACAAAAGGTTTCTGTGTCTATTAATAAATTTTTGCTTTATACATTTCCAATTGAAAAAATCAAAAATAAAAACTTCTAATTGTAAAACGCGAATAAAATTTCACTATAAATCCTCACAGTCCACTCACATGGAAAACTCAACAACGACTGTCATTTTCTATGTCAAAAAATTTATCTTTTGTCAAAAATTTCAACATTGAAATTTGAAAATTAGAGATGCGAACTACGAATGCGATGCCATCTGCTATTTGATACACATAATAGAGCAAAATTTTAAAAATAAAATGTTGCCGTTGCGTTTTCACCCATATTTTTGTCTTTACTTTAGAACGATTTTACGCACGATGCAAGTTTTACCAGAAATTGCAAACACAAAGTTATATTTTACTTCATGTTTATAGTTGCTACAATTTTAGTAGTTAAAGATTAAATAATGCTGACTATATATAATATTAATTACATATTGTTAGTTTAAAATTACATGAATTACAAAGTTAGAGAACTGAAAGAGAAACTAATTACTAATAGAAAAATATTAGTAAATTTATTAGCGAAAGAGAAAGTAAAATGTTTTCCATATTGGAAATTTCAGTTACTTTCATTATTAAAACATGAAAAGGTTAAAAGTTTGCATTAGATTGTTAGCTAGCTTATATGCGTAGTTTCTAAAAGGGTAAGTTATTTTTGAAATGTGAGTAAAATGCGATCATATATTTTTTGAACTTTGAACTTTGTTAGTGTCTAAAAATTACTTAAATTTCAGACTTCTACAACCTGCGGTTTAGATGAAAATGATATTAAAAATTTGAAAACAACGGATTTTAGATAGCGGTAAATTTTAACGGCGATTCAGTTTTTTTGATGTTTACAGCTTTTGCTCGTAGGTTGGTTTCTCTCAATAAGGTTTAACAAAAATTCATACTAATGTCATGCTTAAAAAAGCAGAAAAGTTTTTTCAAATTTACTCAAAATGACTCATTAGCACAATGTTGGGTTTTTAAAACTAATAGGCATTAAATAAAATATTGAATAGAAATTATGGAAAACTATAGGATAAGGTATGTTTCTCTTGCTAGCCTTTTTTATCATATGAGACAAAAATACATGAAATAACATATACAAACAAACTTTATTTTTAATGACCAGATATGAAACAATTAAAACACCTATTCTTGAAATGTGAATAAATAAAATGAATTATAATTAAAAATATATTCGACCTTTAGTATTTTTTTTTTTCGAGTATTGTCCGTGTGGCTCATTCAAAACTCCTCATTATTAGGCTTTTGTTCTTTGTTTTGCGTAATCTAAAGCATTTAGCAATATCTTTTTTTCGAGAATACGATAATGTAGTAGCATTGATTTTATGTGTCCCAACTTTATTTGTCCCTTTTTGAAATTTGCGAACGTAATTTCGTCAGCTTCGAGTGTAGTCGGAAAAACTCTTAGTAGGATTTCTAAACGATTTTGCAAAAATTGCCAAGTTTTACTTTCGAGACTAGTTTCTAAAGCACAGTCAATATGCAATAAGTCAGTAGTTCGCTCGGAGTTTACCCAATGATCAAGTTGGTCTTTGTTCATATGAAAAACTCGCACGAATCCTAAAAGATGGGGGGAAATATATTTTGGAGCTGGCAAAACTTTAAGTTCGCAATTGTTTGCAATGTCAAGTTTATCCAGAAGTTTAGTTTTCTCTTTATAAAGCTCGTCGTGATTACCCAAGCCTAGCCTAATAGAAACACTGTCTGCGGAATTGTCAGGATAAATAAAACCGTTATGAATCAAAAGATCTGCATTTGACCGGTTTCCATAATATATAAAAATTTGTTCTCCAACATTAAAATCAAAAAGTGCATTACTTTCTAGACGTTCATGATCTAAGTTGTAAGATGATGTTACCTCTCCGTCTCTATGATTTGCCATATCCCAAAGTGGAATTAAAGCAGGTATAACTGCATTAGCACTATTTTCATCAATGTTTTTCCCACTGAACTCTGGTATAAAATTTTGCCTTGTCATCACAGTTGAAACTGCCCACCTATACATTTCATATGAAAATTTTTCTTTCAAGATTTCAGCTTCTTTAGAAGTCTGGACGCACTTATATATAAATGCATATTGCCTTGCTATACTTTTACATTGATTTAATGCGTTTGAAAAACAATTTGAACCTTTCAATTCCTGCATTTCACTATAATTGAAATACATTACTGTTGAATATTGCTCTGGTAAAATATCAATGAAAGGCTTCCAAAAACTGTTCTCATCAAGTTTTTCCAATAATAAAATAAATGCCAATTTTACATTTGCCATTGTGTCAAAGAAAGGTATATCAGTTCCAATTTTATTTGATGGCACAGTTAACTCAGACATCATTATTTTTCTTGGAACTGTTATCAAAGTTTCTCCCTTTTTAATTTCAGCTGTTGCTTCCAAGCCTAATTCATATCCAGGAAATTCTGATATTTTGACTTTATCAAATAATGCTCCATTCTCTTTTGCCCATTTAATGAAATTTTCAATTTTATTCGTTCGTAGTTTATTAGAGTTAGAAGAATTTTTGAGTTTTACACTGTTTTCAATGGCAATTACTCGATCTAAAAGACTTTGTAATTCATTATATTGATTCCACATCTCAGTTGGGTTATTCGCTTGCTTGAAGCCAAGTTTTAAAAGTGATTCTACTAATGAATTTAGTTCATTTCGCTTCTGTGGTGACAATTTTTTGGCGTTTTCAGTTTTAGCAGCGTTATTTTGTTTTTTCTGATTTTTTCTACCCATTTTCTTTAAATTCCTCCTTTTAACAGCAATCCAGGAAATTCTTGTTTACTAAAAAATTTTACTTACTTATAAAGGAATAAATTAATATTTTCTTTTAATAGTTTCTCATTATTTGTTTATATAATTACAAACTTTGTTTTTGTTTTGATTTTTGCTTCCTCAAAAAAAAAAACTCTGTCAAAGTCTTATTATGTTGTTTTTTTTTTATTTATGGAATCTTCCTTCACGTGGGTTGATGTATATAGTGGAATTTATTGCGGTGTGCGCGTCCTCCAAAATAAAATGAGCAAATATTTCTTATACCGTATTATATTTCATCATCATCTAAAGAATTATTGAATTAAACGTATGAAACTAATCGAAATTTATTTCACTTAAAATAATCTAAAAGTTCTTGGAAAGAAATTTTTTATACCTGCAATGTGATTTTTTTTAGTATTCTCTAAAAATAAAAAAAATAAATAAAAATATATTTTTTTCACTACCACACTATACGGAGAAAAGAAGGAGACTGTCATTGTTTTGTCATTTTTCTTTTGTCATAAATAATTTCATTTCGTAATGTCAAATAATAGGAAAATACATATTATTCTAGATTTTAGTTGTTTGTATGGTATGTAGAATGGAGAAATCTAGTACTTTTGTTGATATACAACTGTAGTAAATATACTGTATTGATTGAAGTTCATTAATAACAAAATGTTTTATTTGGTTTTTCTAAAATTTGTTTCATATCATTTATTGAAGTTTACTTTGAATTTTTTTTTAAATTAAATCTATAATTATTAAAAAATTGAATGTACTATTTATGTAGAAGATGTTTTATTTTTTTAGATTTGGTCAATATGTAATCTTAACTTTATTTTAAACTTACTGTAAGTTATTGTATGATAATTTATAATTACGTACGTATATGTATAAGAAGAGTTTAAGATATGTTGTATATGGTGTGCACATACAAATATCTATTCAACATATAATAAAAAGATGTAAGAAAATGAAAAATTATATTAAGAAATCCATGAAAATATTAGAAATTTTACTTAATAATGTTGCAAATATACACTAATTGTAATAAACCTCTGTCAAAGCAAAGAAAATCTAGGGAGTATTACAGAAAATTTTTGTTAACATGATGAAGTGAAATAACAACTTGAAATTAAAAGAAAACAAGCAAAATCTACAAAACAAATTTTTATTTGGGATATTTAAAAATAAATGAAAATGTTAAATTAATCACAAAAAGTATTTTATTGTCATATTGTTGGCTTTAATTAATTTTTGATTGCATGTATTTTTAAATTATTTACATAGGTGCTTGTTTTATATACATATGTATATGTATATTATAAGAATATAAAAATAAAATAATTCTGAAATTAGTTTTTATGAGCATGTGAAAATTTTGTAGGCTCTAATAAAAAAAAACTCTGTACTTTCGTCATATATTTTTGCTACCCAATTTTATAACCTACAAATTTAATTAAACATTAAGTAGAAAAGTTTTGTAAATTTCTTGCAAGTTTATTCACATGAAAAAGCTATTATTAACATAAGGAAACAAAAAAATAAATTCAATATAAAAATTTAATAATCATTTAGATATATTTACATATATCAAATGCTTTTATAAAATTTTCAATCTAAAGAAAGTTATATTTTATAACAAAATTAAATATAGTTAAATTAACTTAGAAAAAGAGCGAAAATTTTGCAATCCAAAGCAAGCATATGTAGGTATTTTAATTTTTTTCATTATACCCATACGAATATTCGAATTGTAAATTATAAATTTACCACTCCGTTTGTAACGCTATGTAAAAATAGACTTTTGCGATATAGACACAAATAGTTTTTGATCGGCGTTTTATTCTGAGTTGATTAATTTATGTCTATTCGCCTATTGTCTGTCTGTTCGTTATAGCAATAACTCGAAAACCCATTAAGCTAAGTTAACCTAATTTTCATTAATTAAAAAAGAGGTGTTGCCGCAAAAACCCTATTAATTTGGTTCAGGCAAAGCAGTGCTCCGATTAGCTGCCATAGAACTGTAAAAATAATTAATGATGTTGTATTAAGAATTGTAAAGCTAATAATATTAAACTTTCTCATAAATTATTATAGTAACCAGAGCTACTAAAAGTTGGTTGTGTTGGTATAAGTTCTTGTGATAACTACCGCACAACTTGTTATTATTACGATTTTTAAACTATAATAAATAATTTTCATTTAATGTTATAAGAAAGTTTTAACATCAATCCTACAGTTAGAAATTTTATTCTAATAAAACATTAGAAATTTTATTTAATATTGACTATTTATTTAACTCTTAAAATCAAATATTAATTTTTACACAAAAGTTTCAATGACAAAATAGCATTTAAATATAGATATGTATATATGTACGTAAGTATTAAACAAAATCATAGCAATTTATAGATATTAATTTTATTCATTTCTTAATTATAATTTGATATTTTCTACTTTCTTCACTATTTATTCATATTTCTTTAATTACCGATTTTATATTCTATATTTCAGAAATGTAGTTATATGGTCCCTATACATATGGCCATGTAATAGAATGTGTGTATGTAATATAAATACATGTATACTATTCATATTTCGTTATGTAATATTTTGCTATGTACTTAACAGAATTAAACAGAATTAATTAAATTAAGTTTTACTTAATTATATTGTATTTTATTAAACGAGTAAAGTATAAGTATAATTAGTTTTTTGTTCAAGAATAACGCGCAGGTGAATTTTAAGATTCAATTTAATTCATTGTTTTGTAGAAAATATGGCGCATGTATACGACATATTGGAAATATTTCGTAATAGAAATTCTGTAGTAATTAACACTTTTTTTGTGTTTTTTTTTTTAATACTTTATCACGATATATAAATATATGTATATATAAATATACATTCCATTTCAAATGCTTACGAGAAATCAAATTATACTTTCGACTATTAAAACAATTTATCGATTAGAATTCGCGTGGTCTGATGCCGCAAGAATTTCAAATTGATGTAAGAATCCAAATCCAAGATAAATTGTTTTTTGATTGTTTTTGAATAAAATATTTTTTGAATTAATGAGAATATTCATTCTTCAAATTTTAATTATTTAATTGGGAAATGAGAACTGAATGTACCCACATCTTGTACAATAGAATTTAGTAATGTTTGATTTAAGATTTTTGTTAATCACCACCTTCTAAGGTGGGGATTAAGTATTTTAAAAAACACTTACATATTTATATTGTCATTCATTTCAGCTAAGATTTACAATTCTTTGGCAAGCATTCTTACACAAAATCTTTAAAACTGTGACTACTTGACTTTATGTATGTAAATATAGCAACTTTCCAAATGGTTTGAGGCTTCATTTTATAACTAAACAGCATTTAGATACTCTTAAATATTTCATTTCGTTGGAAGAAAGTTTTTTTCCATCTCCACCGCCTCTCAAGTTTTCGGCTATCGAAATTTGTAAAACTTGAATTTTTGGCATATTATATTTCCAAAACTGCAAGCTTCCTCAAATTTCTATAAATATAGAAAGTCACGCAATTAACCCTTTAATTCGAGTTTTTGTTTCTTACAATCAAAAGTGTTAATTATTTTTTGAATAAGTCCGTTGGTCATATTATAAAAAAACTGTAAAATTTCGTTTGCGATGTTAATTTGTGATATTTTTTTATATTTCACATTTCTGAATTAAGAGTATTTTTCTTTTCTACACGTCTCTCACACCCACACGACATAATAGCAAAGGTCATTGTACTTTTGAATTTATTATCATTTTATAACAAAAATTATTTAGATACTAAATTATTTCCAATAAGTTAATATTCTATATACACACAGACTACTCGTGTGTACAGAATATGCTATACGGAATGTACAAATTAATGTATAAAATCCAAATTTATATTAGATAAATGTTATACATAAAATAGCCTAATGAAAATGTGCTTCTAAGGTACAAGAAGGATTAAGTCAGAATACCTCTGACTTAACCCTTCCTATTATACTTAATGAATAAGATATTAAAATACCAATCAGGTGTTTTCGAATTTGTTATTTTACTAGTCGTTTACTTATAAATTTTAGCTAAATTTTAAAATTTTTATTAATTTCAAAAATACTTACATATTTTGTTTAACATGTATTTCAATAATTTGCTGTTATTTCTTATTATTATTGCATCTTCAAATTTCTAATTAATATAAAATGTCTATAGATATGTTTTTATTAACAAAAATTTAAAGGTCAAGTTTGTTATGTCTGAAAGTTTTAAATTCTAACTTCGTTATTTGGTCAGTACAAAAAATTTACACAATAATTATATGCATATGTATGTAATTAATATTTATATATTGTATTAGTGCTTAAAATTTCAATATTATGTATGCACGTACATTAATCTTATTATATTATAGATATTAACGTATGGTATTAACAAAAAAATAATATCTATATTTATTACTATGCCAATTGACTACTTCAAAATTTAAAGCAAATATTTATGAGACCTTAGGCGTTTAATGTACCTTGCTTTCTTAATCATATTATGTACATATGAAATTATTAACAAGTCTGTAGAATGTGTATTTATCTGTATAAAAAACTTGTTAAGAAAATTTAAAGGTTGCCGCATGATATGCACTAATATTGAAAGAAATTTAAATAAGAATTTTAAAATATAGAACTTAACATTTTCCACTTGTAATTTTTCTATTTAGAATTGTCATTTTTATTTTTTAATATTTATTTTATTCATCCAATATACAGTCGGTTATACAATTAAAATGCAATTTTGCACGGGAACCCTATAAATTATTTCAAGTTGTGGAGATTTATCAAAATTTATAGAGATGATGTATTTGTAAATGAAACAAATAATATGATACATGCTTTAAATGATATTTTTAATTGGAAAATAACATTTATAAAAAATAAAAACACTCCTTAAAATATGTAAACCAAAAAATAAATTAATCTATGTATTTATAATAACATGTATAACGTAATATGATGAGTATAGATATTTATCCAAGGATACATTCATGGGTATGGAATATAACATACGAATATTATATATATTCGTGATTCCTTACTTGCAGGAACTCTTCAATTCAATTAAGATCTTGTTCGAAAAATTCATTGATATTCAACTGAATTGTCAAATCCCCATTTCACTTCAATAAAATCTTTTTTGTTTCATTTTAGATTGAATGCTAGTCTGATATTTTTTGAATTAAAAATATGATTTTTTTTTGTTCAAAAATTTTGTAAATTTTTCAAGTTAAGGTTCAAGTTCTGGAGGCTTCACTGTATTACCAAAATTCAACAATTATTAAAAGTGAGTTTAATGTATAAGTTGCCTTTACTTTTTATAATATGCATTTGAATATGTGCAGAAGCTCCTCTATGTTTAAATTTTTAAATCCATTTCAATTTACTCTATTGGAGCACATATTGTATATAATTTTAACATTATGTGAAGAAA